AACAATGATTATGACTCGGGCCACAAACATCTTGGCCTCTGTGCCTCCTGTATCCTCACAAGCCAACTTCTGGAGTACAAGCATCTCACAGAAGAAGTGGTTCAGGTAATGGAGGCCACAGAGAGGCATGGCCATCATGAGGCTTGTCTGAATCAGAGAATTCGTGAGGCCTCCCACCCAGGCAGCAATAGCCAGGGACTGGCAGAGAAGGGGGTTCATGATGGTTGTGTAGTGGAGTGGACGACACACAGCAGCATAGCGGTCAAAGGCCATCACCACCAGGAGCACACACTCAGTTCCACCCAGGGAGAGGACAATGAAGAGCTGAGCCACACACCCTCCATAGCTGATGGTCCTGTCGAGTCCAGAAAGATTGATCAGCAGCTGGGGCACAGTGCTGGTGGTATAGCAGAGGTCCAGGAAGGAGAGGTGGCAGAGGAAGAAATACATGGGCGTGTGCAGTCGAGGATCCAATCGTGAGAGAATGATGATGGTGGTGTTGCCAAAGAGGGTTAGGGAGTAGAAAATCGAAATATAGATAAAAAGGATGAGTTCCAGTTGAGGCCAATCTGAGAAGCCCACCAAAATGAAGCCCTCTCCAAAACTGGTGTTGAAACTTCCCATATCCTTTTACCTGCACAAATAACAGAAGACTATATAATGCCTCCTATGAAGAACTTGAATTAAAGAGTCACTTCACAATTATCCCTCAGTATTCCAACACCAAGGTTTTCATAATGTCAGAGAGATGTGTTTAATATATTTGAAATTGCAACTGCTGATGCTTATAACTATAATTATTGCAATAAATAATAAAACCACAATCCAAATGGATTTCAACGTGATGAAACCTAGACATTTAAAAAATAAATGGACACTTTAATAAACAAAATCATGATATATATTGAAGTGGGAGAATTGAACTTCCAAATCTCAGTAGAACAAATGCAAAATGGAGGATTCGAAACCTGCAAACTTAACTGCTATTTGTAAAAAGTAAAGGACATCCCAAAATAGCAAAAGCAATTCTTAGAAAGTACAATAAAGTTTTGGTATCATGCTTCCTGTTTTAATTTTTTTATTACAAAGCAAAGGTGGTACTGGCAAAAGACACACACACACACACACGTCATGGTGAGGAACCCCTGTAAACCAATTCAAAGCCAGACTCAAGAACTTAGTGAGACCCTGTCTCCAAATCTTAAAGTATAAAGGGCTGACAATGTAACTCAATAATAGAATTCTCCTGAGATTAATCCCATTCCTGAGTTCTATCCCCAGTACTACATACAGAACAATGAAACATAAGACATGACCCAGATATAAATACTAATATATAGGTTAATTTTCCACCAGAGGAACAAGAAGCAACTATGAAGATAGAATAATCTCTTCCATAAATGGCTGGGGAAAATGAACTTAAACACCAAAAGAATCAAATTTACCATACACAAAAATGATTCACATTGGATATGACTAGGATATCCTGCCATTTGCGATGACATGATGAATGAAACTGAGGATATTATGTAAGGGAAATAAGGCAGAAGCAAAAATAAAAAATTTCATGAAATAATTTACATGTGTGTTGTAAAAGTCAAGTATACAGACCTAATAATTAAAACATGGTTGCCTGGAATGAGATGAGGGAGCAAATGTGGGGTAGAAAATACTTAAAATAAAAAAGGATAGAGATATAATGACAACATGAAGAATATAGGTAATAAAGGTGTACTAGATATGTGATTTGGGAAAAATGAGTAGACTAGCTTCTCTTGCAATGTAAACAAAGAAAATGAGAAATTGTGTGATGGTGTACAGTTTAATTTGCTTCATGAGAGTAACTATTTTACTAATATTTATCATACATGATAAAATTTATTTTTAAATGAAATAAGAAAAACATGCAAGGCAAAGATGAATTGGAAAGTAGTGAAGCAAAACCTCAATATAAAAGTCAACAGAGCCTGTATTAGTCAACTTTTCATCAGGATGACCAAAATTCCTAACATAGACAACTTGGAGGACAAAAGATTTATTTGGGCTTACAGAGGTTTCAGAGGTTTAAGTCCATGGTCAGCTGACTCCACTGCTCTGGGCCTCAGTTGAGGCAGAACATCTTGGAGGAAGGACCTGGTGGAAGAAAGCTGCTCAGCTCATGGAAGCCAGAAGCAGAGAGAGAGAGAGAGAGAAGGAGCCAAATACTAATAGAGTCCACAAGGGCAAGCCACCATGACATCCTTCCTCCAACCATGCCCCACCTGCCTGCAATTTCCACCACCTCCCAGTAGACTCTTCAAATTATTCAAATTATTAATCCATCTAGTACATTAATCCACTGATGAGGTTACAGCCATCAGGGTCAATCACTTCCTAAAGGCCCAACTCGGGATAATTATTGCTTTTCCTACACCCTTTTAAACTCTTCGATGCATGACTCTTCTGTACAAAATCTCAAACCAAAAACTTGTCTAATGAAGCCCTGCCTCATTTCCTCATGCCAATTCTCTTGTCCGTTTATTTCTGTCTGCTCCTCACATTCATCTTTACGTGTCCTAGATTCCTTGAGTCATCATGTATGTATCTTTAACTGAAGAACGCACTCTGTACAGTCTACCTACCTAACTACAGGTTAACAAATTCTTCTGAAAAGAATAAGATGAATATGCAAATGAATTATACCAAAAATTCAGTCCTTCTTAATGTGTCTTTAACATTCCCTTCTCTATTGGCTCTTTCTCAACAAAGTAATGTATGAGCAAGTCTCTTCCATTTGAACATCTTTCTTTTCGCCCTGTGTCCCCTTTTAGTTACTGCCTTTTATCTTTCTTCCTCTTCATAGATTACTTTACTGAAAGAGTCATCTCCACTCAGTGTTTCCACAACTTCCCTCCCACTCAGTCCTCAACCCACTTCTATATGGATTCTGTCCTTTCCACACTGTACCGTAAAACACAGTAGGCATTTTCAGTACTCTTCCTGGTCAAGAATTCTACATGTTGACTACTGTTCATTTTACACAAAACCTCTTCCCTTATCTTCCTGGACATCTTCCTCCTTCCTTGGTTATTTCTCAGTCTTTGGTGTGCTCCTCTTTCTCTGTACATCTCTTTCACAATAGGTTTCTCCTCAGGGTTCCACCCAAAACACCCTTCTCTTACCCTTCTAAAGACCCTTACTAGAAAATGCCATTCATTCCATAATTTGCATAATTCAAAAAGTCACCGTGTAGGTAACACTCCCAAACATTCAGACTTCCATAATCCATCTGTACTAATTACACCTTTTCATTTTATGTATTTCTAATGCTTTGACATTTGGGGATCTGACTGACCATGCACAGACTACCCCTTTCAGGGATAACAATTCCTAAAGATAGTAAAAGAATTTCTTGAAAGCAGACCTGCATGTGAAAACCAATCCAGAGCTCAATTCCAAGTTCCCCTTTATTCGGCTTCAATGAGGCTCGCACACTTTGGGCCATTATGCACCCATCTTGAACAGCTGAAGGTCAGTTATCAGACAACTCTTTATATCCCAGAGAGTGCTAAGAATATTCAAACTCACCAGTTTAAGCCTGTTTATCCTTACCTGCTTTGTCCCATACTGAAAATACTTTGTGCTTCTCCAAAAGCCAAAATTAGGAAGAACTAGTGAAATTTCTAAGAAAGCAACATAAAGAAAACTTGGAAAAAGTGAAGCACACTAAACATACAGTCCCTGGACAGGAAGCGGCATTCTGGTCACTTGAAAGTTTCTTGCTTATTCAGAGGCTGGAAAATGTTTCTGCACTACCTGGATTATTAAGTTGGATGCTGTCAATCACCACACAAAACCCCGATAGTCTAGATTTTGCTACTCTTAAATTATCTTTTTAAAATTTAAGGGGGCTGGTATGGTGGCTCAGTGGTAGAGCGCTCGCCTAGCAAGTGTGAGGCACTGAGTTCAATCCTCAGCACCACATAAAAATAAATAAAATAAAGGCATTGTGTCCATCTATAACAAAAAATTTAAATTAACTCTTACTCCTATTCCCATTACACCAAGCATTTTTGACATTTGCATATCTGTTATTGTTGATTGTCTGCATTATAAAGATCAGCAATTATCTGTGTTCACCTGTTTTTGTGCCTCATACAGAATCTGTGTCTGTGCACAATCTCTGTAAATAATAAACTCTTCTTTTTTGCAGTGCTGAGAATCAGACTTGTGAATATCGCCTACATTCTAGGCAAGTATTCTTCTACTCAGCTAACCCCTGGTCAATAATAAACTTCTTCAGATGAAAAATCATGTACTATATCCTTCTAATTTACTAATTTAATGATATTATCTGACTATAATAGACCCACATTAAAAACAAAATATTTAATCTTCTGTACATAAAACATGATGTTCTAAAAACTCTTTACTGTAAGATTACCTTCATCCATCCTTCAATCTGAGTTGATCTTTCCTTTCTCCAATTATGATTGCACATGAAGATCTCCTGTTAGTTTTCAGAGATTTAAACTCACTACAAAAACTAGCCTTGCCACCAAAGAGTTCTTCTCCCCCTTCTCCATCACAGTTTGCACTTCTACAGACACATTTCTCATCCAACTTCATGATGCTCACACTAGTTAACACAAGATCTCCTTCAATCACCGAGTAAGTAGGGCAATCATCAAGACTCTTTTATTAAATCCTCCATAATAACACTAATTTTTTCCAGGTAGAACCAAAAAAAAAAACCACAGCTGGGGTCCAGTCAGCTGATTGACATTCAAAGGCTGAATTTAACAAATTTCTTTTTAAATTCTGACTCCCCACACAGCATTGTCTCTAAATATGATAGATTCTCTCCAACTTGCAGGATTCTCTCCAAACTTTCTTGATTAATTTTCAATAATTCTAACAATAACTCAGTTCTTGGTCTCTGGGTTCTGATGTCTTTACATGATAGAGCAATACCATCATAGGATTGGAGTTTTGGAAGAGACTGTGAAGCCAGAATAGCACCCCGAGTCAGTTCACACCCAGGGATCTATCAAAGAAAACTGTTCCATTTACCTCTCTTGATTCTATTGCCTTCAAGATGATGTGAGACCCATCTCACACTTTGGCATCTAGAGATGGGAAAGATGTGTTCCTCTTTGGTCCTCACTTCATCTGTGGAGTGAGTGTTTACACCAGAATATTGTTCTGGAGAAATCACGCTTTCTCCCTCAACAGAGGAGCCTGCTAAGGCTCAGAACCTAGGAGCAGGAAGCATCTTCCCAGTGCACTCTGGTACAGTCACCTTAGCCAGCAGGGAACCAGAAGAAGCTGGTGTATTACCAGACCACCTCCTGACCTCCCACAGAGGAGAATTGGCTGAGAACTACCAATTCTCCCATGGGAATACTGGCACAATCTATTCAAGAGCAGTGGAGAAAGAATTGTTTACCCAGACTGGCCTTGGAGACCTCTGGGCCCCAATGTGGCAATTATAACCAACTGACTGGCTCAAGATCTGCCATGCAGTCCTCAGCTCTTTCTACCCTCACACTCTGCCCAAACCAAACTGATGTATCCAGTGTGCTCAGAACACCACTTCTCCCTTGCTCATCATGGACTCTGTAGCCTGGGATTCCTCCCATAGA